AATTTTTTTCTTCTGCTATTTCATATTTTCTAACAAGATATCGATGAGATAACTTGAGACGTCATTGACCCCAACTTTTCTTCTAGCTAGCAACACACATTTTGGGATGCAATTCTTCTTCTTTTTTTTCAATTGCATGGGATGCATTTTTTCAATCAAAGAAAGATTACCATATTTATAATATTAATTACCGTAGCAGGTATGATTTCCTGCATGGCACGTGAGTTAGCTGGTACTAATATAAGACCTTTCTCACCTTTCTCCTCGGAAGGATTCTAGGTCTGCTTATGTGCTGGACTAAATCATAATTGGACCAAATAGATATATGGAAAAAAAAAATTAATTAACTAACATAACATCCCATTAATCGGAAAGATACTGAGTATATTCGGGCAATTAAGGTAACTTAAGCTAAAACATTGACATGAATTGAGTACAAAGGGGGAAACCTCCATAATACAACCACACCAAATCAAACAGTTCACGTAACATGTTTTTGGTAAAAATAAGGAATTCTCAGTTTAAGTCTTATGATACGTAAGTGGTATAAGTTAAGAATAAGAAAGGTTGCATCTATTATTAAGAAAAAAATGGAATAATGATAATGACATAATTATAATATCATATAAGATTGTAAGTGCTTGTAATCAGAATATAATATTAAATAAATATGATATGATATTATCAATAACTAAAATAGTTTAGTGATAATCTTCTATTTAAAGTAAGATATTTTGAATTCAAATTGTATGGTATACATAGGGTAAGATAAAGAATAGTAAATGATTATCTTTCATTGTATAACTAAAAACAAAAAAAAAATGATATGATATTAAATAAATAGATATATACAATATCATAATTGAATACTTAAATAAAAATAATCAATTATATAATGATATATTATATTGTAAGTTTACAATATTATTTGCCATTATAACTATAACATTACAAAAAAAAAAAAAAAAAAAAAAAAACCCTCACCAATCAAAGGGTCAAACTAATTCAAGGAAACGGCATGTCATCGTCGTCCGGTGGAGCACACAACCACTCTCCATCTTCATTCCTCACAAGCCCTTTGTTCTTCTCCACCCACCACGACCCCGGCACCGAGTACTCGTCTTTGAGGAAGTCACAAGACTTGTTCACCAGTGCCAAGCTCCTCTTCACCTTGAGCTCAAATTCTTCCTTCTCTCCATTCCACCCGGCCACCACATGCAACAATGCCTGCAAATTATGCCAATCTCCAGGATTCTTCGATTTCTTCAAGCAATTCGACTTCCTCGTGTCAACCACCAGCTCCGTTCCAATGTACACATACCCCAACAATTTGGTGGGATAATGGGGTATGAAATCGATGGTGTTTCGGATGTGAAGAATATTTAAGTTTTTGTGCCGTTCTATTCTTTCCTTGAAAGCCTTGTTCCCGACCCGTGGACAACCAAACACAAAAGCAGTCACCGGAATATCATCTGTTACGTTCTGTGCCACATCCAATGCACTAACGACGGACAATGAAGCCCCCAGACTGTGTCCGGTGAATATGATGCTCGGATTTTCATTTTTGTATTCCTCAATCAAGGATTTGATCTTACTCAGAAGTTGGGTCCTTGCGCTTTGTTTGGTGAATTGCGATTTTGGATCATCGGAGATGTATAACGTCAGCCAACCCAGCATCACTTTAGGGGTCTTCTCCTTGTCGTCGTCTCTGCAACCGCAGAGTAATTGGAGGAAGCAACCCAGCATGTTACCTCCGCCACTGTCTGATTTAATTAATTTGCTCTGATCAGTAATTGGATGCAGCAGACATTCAGCGGATGTGAGCTCTGCACCGAGGACATCGACCCACTCGTACTTCCTGTTGGTACCGCGCCAAACGACGTAGATCTCGCGGCGACCCAAGGCTTTTGTTCTTGCATCAGAAGTCACGGCAATGTAACCGACCCAGTTTGACTCGCGGTCCCATTTCTCACGAGACTTGGAGTGGAGGAGGAAGGATTCGGGGAGGCTGACGCGAGCAGTGGCGTAAAGGAAGGAGGAGACGACATAATCGGAGGCAGATTCGAGCATGACTTTGTGGAAGAAAGTCGACTTACAGTAGCGGCTGGAGCCACAGTACTTGGAGTACTGGTCGTTGTTAAAGGCGTCGTGGGCGGCCTGACAGAAGTCGCCACAGCGGAGGATGAGTTGGCGGAGGGAGAGGTTGAGCGGGTCGAGAAGAGTGTCCCAGTTGTTACTGCCCAGAAGCTCTTCCCAAGGCGGCTCTGCTTCTTCCGGTATGGTGGCCATGGTGTTTGGTACGCACCAATTACAACAAGAAAGTTGGATGAAGTGTCTTGTGGCCAAGGAAAAATGTTGATATATAAGTTGTTTTTTTTTTTCTTTTTCCTTCTTGGGTGAAATTTGGGGAAGCTACATTTGACATGCGGTAGTTCAAATGGTTACGGAAGCTTCATGGTCCATCCTCCATTAATGCATTTTTAAATGTGTAGAAAGACATGTGTGATTGAGTCAACACAAATTAACAAAAAATTTTGCCATACTTACCCGAGGCCACAGTAGAGTCATTCATGCTTTTTTTTTTTTTTCAAATAATGATTAAAGGTGTTAGTATGTTAAAAATGTTAGTGTGTAAAAATAATATTAAATTCAAAACATGAGATATAAACCACAATTTATCCTTAAAAAACAACAAGTGACCGTGCGCCACGCACGTGGAATGCAGTAATTCATGCATCTATCTCTTTAAAATTAAGGTGATCCATAGGCTATTAAGGAAATTATAAAAAAACAATTAAATGAAAAAAGTTGAGCGATTCATTCTCTTTTTCAAAGACCTTGATTCCTATTCTCAAATATGCAATAATTGAATTTTGACTAAAACTTGCGCTAATAAGACAAGGGAGTGGGGAGTATTAGCAATATTTTTTAAAAGAATAAAAAATAAAAAGTGTTTTGTAATTTAAATTGTATTATTAAATTATATAATATTA